TTCAATGTTGCAAATCTTGTTCTTGAGACAATTTTTAAATTCAGGTGGGACAGACTCAAGGTCTTATTTTTGCTCTTGTGGACTTGCTTTCATTTTCTTCCAACTGAAGCTGCACATGAGTCACTGATGGTCTGTTCCACAGTCAGCACTAGCCTTGATTTGACTACTGTTGTTAAGCTTCTCCAGAGATTCTCTGCATAGATATAGTCAGTCAGAATCCTGTGCAGTCTGTCCCATAAAGTCCATCTGTATGGATACCATCTGTGTTTCTTAAAAAAGATGTTTGCAACACTGCCCAGTTGTTTGTATGGCCACTTCTGAAGAACTGTTCTGCTTGGTCCTTGACTTGGCTAGAGGCCAAACTGCCAAAGGCCAACAGCAACAGCCCTGCAAGAGAACCGATAAAACGGTGAAAGCAGTAGGTGGCTGCCATGTCTGCCGGCTTTGGACTTCCCGCATAAAATATATATAATATTATATATACATGCATAGATAATGATGATAGAAAGTTAAAACTAAATTTAGGGTAGATGTCAAGAAAGACAAATATGAAATGTTAATATGATTATCTCTGAGAGGTGCACTTATAATTGATTTTTCCCTTCCCTTAGCTATGTGTTTCAAATTTTCTACAATTACATTCTTTTTATGGTATGAAACAATATCACAGATGTCCTTGAGCGGTTCTGGTTTTTAAATAGCTCCATAGACCTGAATTAGGGTTTTTAACTTTTCCATTGTTAGTTCTTCTTTTAGCCACTTTCCATTTTTCTTTCTAGAACATCCTTCCTCCTTTTGTTGTCGGGGTATGTCCATATAGGGAGCTTTGGTGGCCTCATGGTAATCCCAAAGGCACGTGGTTCAAATCCACCAAATACTCCATGAAAGATAGGCAATCTCCTCCCATACAATTAACTGCCTCTGAGAACCCACTAAAGGGTCAACTACGGGTTAATTCACATACATATATTTAAATGATAGATGGATGGATAGATAGATGATAGATAGATAGATAGATAGATAGATAGATAGATAGATAGATAGATGATAGATAGATAAATAGATAGACATATATAGTGTGTGTATATAGTGTGTGTGTGTGTGTGTGTGATGTTGTCGTTAAGTGCCATCAAGTTGTAGATGACTTATAGTGACCCTATGGACGAAAGACCTGAGGACTGTTCATAGAGTTTCTGGAGACAAGCCATTTTGGAAGTGGATCCCACTCCTGCTTCCAAGCTTGTTTTAATCGGAAAGCTCCACCAAATACTGTCCACCATGAGTAACCATTATTGCATTTGGCACATCAGTGTCACAGTGTTTAGCATCACAGTAACCACGAGTTAACTATGTACAGCAATGCACAGAGCAGTGCTATACCACTCAGAAGAATGTATCACAAGAAAAAAGCAAAAAAAACACAATTTAAACCCGGCCTGAGGGCCCAGATTAAAATCACCCACCTTGGGCTTAGTAGCATAACTTTCTGTCCTCCAGGCTAGCGTAGCTCTCTCTATATATAATTAATTATTGGGGAATTTAAAATTACATTGTCAACTCTTCCCTCCTCCTCGAGAAAAATTAATGTTCAATGCGCTTTTATGTGCAACCTTCACAGTCTAGGAGGTCCCAT